CGCCCCTCCCCGGGTTTTGTATAAGCACAACTTTCCCGCAGGGGCCCGCTCTGGCACCCACAGAAGCCGACTTCAGCAGAAGCGGGGCCCTGGCTCCGGCATCTCTGTGGGCGGCAAACAAAGCAGATGGAGCCGTGGGACATGTTTGGAAAATACTGACTTTATTCAATGAGTTGATGTACAGGACCAACAATTTTATCCAAATGCACATCATCATGAACACCTACTTGGGAATATATTACAGCTATGTAATTCCTGCTAGTGTGTCTGTCCAGACTCCTGTTACAAAAGAAGCACAACAACAGTGGGGTTAGGGAATATGATGGGTTTTTTAGCAACAGTAAAAAGGCTTCAGTCTCCCCCATTTCATGCCTGATCCATTTCGTGTGCCTCAGAGACCCATTGCTCGTGGCGCACTTTCCATTTCGCGTCTGCTCACGTTCCCTGTGTTTAATAAAACAAGAGACGCTCAGATGAAGCGGAGGACCCTGCTGTGTCATCAGACCATGCCAGGTGAGATGGGCTTTGAACCACAGTCCTCTTTAGACTCACAAGCGCTTGCTGTGGCCAGGCTGGTCATTTCAAGTGGCAAGAGGCTGGGGAAAAGAGCCATCAGAAATGTGTCAGATACCCAGCAAGCCTTGGGAAGTGACCTGAGCGAAGCCTGGGCCCAGCTTGTTAACCAACAACTGCAGCGGAAGATCTCAGCTTTTTAGCTCCATGGTTTCTTAAGGGTCACGTGATGTCAGGCCACAGGGGGTTAAACGCAGAGTGCCGGGAGTGCTTTAAGAGGAGAATGTAAAAGACCAGATGGGAAGGTGGTTATGGTCAATGCATGAGCCAGCACTTGGCTTTTGTCAGTCACACGTGAAAAGTGAAGTCATCAGACTCCAGGGGTGTGTCTAATCTACATGGCTCCATTGACGGAGCCATGTAGTTTAGATGTACCCCAGGAGATTTCCTTGAAAGCATGCGGAGATCTTCGTTCTCAATGAATCCTTGCCCAACCACACATCAGCCAACAGGCCCAGTGCCTGTTGACAACCATGCTTTACATCCTCCTCGGGGCTGCCAACAGTCCTTGGTCTAGATCGTGTCAGCAACACCAGCCACACCACAACCCTCACCTACACCAACACCCAAAAGGAGAGCGGACGCTTTCTGACTGGCGGGATCTTAGTGAGCTAGAGAGAGCTAGGAAGGAAGGACGTGGCAAGAGAGGGAGGGAAGAAAAGGCAGGGGAAAGACTGAAGAACAGGGGAAGAAGAAAAAGAAGACAGCGCGGTGAAGAGAAACAAAAAGGCAAAGAGTTCTTCAAAAAAGAACTAGATTGATTCATGGAGATTAGGTCCATCAATACTCATTAGCCAGGATGGGCAGGAATGGTGGCTCTGTTTGGCAGGGGCTGGAAATGGGTGACAGGGGAGAGATCACATGATGATTTCCTGTTCTGCTCACTCCCTCTGGGGCATCTGGCATTGGCCGCTATGGGCAGACAGGACACTGGGTTAGATGGACCTTTGGTCAGACCCTGTATGGCCGTTCTTATGTTGAACAGAAGGAAGAAGGCACAGAGGAATAGGAAAGTTTCACCTACTTGTTTATTTATGATGCCTGTAGAAAAGGTTAAAATCAGGCTGGATAGGGCTTGTGCAAACCTGGCTAATCAGAGGAAGGGAGAAGACAGCCAATCAGGACCAGACTGGGCCCTATAAAAAGGCTGCAGGGCAGAGAGGAGCTCACTCTTGCCCTGACCAGCAAGGGAGAAGGAACGCGGTCCCAGTAGAGGAGGGAAGCAGCAACATCTTAGATAGAGCAGAGCAGCAGAGGGTGAGCTCCCGCCTGACCTCTCCCTGATTAAAGGGACAGAGAAGGTGCAAGGGCGATGGGGAGCAAAGGCAGTCGAGGAGAGTCGAGGGCAGAATAAGGCTAACGCTGGAGGGTTCCTCAGTCAGGTCCTAGAGCAGTGGATGGACATAGGTCCCTCCTCCCCTTGCACTGCACCGTGCCTTGCAGGATGTGATCATGTTAGACTGCTGCTTACCCATGAGGTGAGGGGCTACTCCTGGGGGCTGCAATAGGCCACTGAGGCAAATACATGGACTGAGGACTTCCGGTAACCGCGGACGAGGGGAGAACCGAGTGGCGAGGCCTGCC